TAGTATGATTTTTCCAATTTCAGATACCATTGGAGGCAAAAGCCTGATACTTGGAAACACATTGGGCCCCTCAGAAGATTTCTTCCTGGTCAACATAGGCAGGTCCTCTAGTCTATTACAAGGGCATTTGGAGAGCTCACAGCTGGGATGTGGCTCTGGTCTTAGAATGGGTTTCCATCTTGGTCTTGCAAGTTGGAGGAGGAATCTTTGGCCTTTGGGAGGCCTCTGGCCTGAGCACCTCATAGGGGAAGGAGTATCTGGTTTTGAAGAGCCATAATCAGCTGTTTCTTGGGATTAGGGGGCTGAGGGGACTGCCCATTGTCTCAGTGGTCTTGGAAATGTTGGATACAGTGGCATGTAAGGTGGTGGGCTTTCTTCTGCCTCACCAGGTAAAACTGGTTCTTTTTCTGTCTTTTCTGTGTCGTATTTTCTCTGCTTAATTGCCTTTTTTGGGTCTTAGATGCTGCTACAATCTGAGCTAACCTCAATTTGGATTGTACATCTAGACAGGCTCTCAACCAATGGGGTGTTTCTAGACTATACCTTGCGAGCAATCATGGAAACTATTCTGGGTGTCCAGGGGTTCCAGCAACTATTAAAAAAACCTCAGCATAATACTTGCAATTAAAGATCCTTCTGGTGGCCAGCACACACCAAAGCGTGGCCATTCTAATTCACAGAGAGAACACAAGTTTGCTGAGTGAATTTCTGAATGTAAACTTGCAGTCTTCCCCTTAGCCCATCAGCTGGTAAATCTGGAGTGCCAGGTGTGAATAAATGTTTTATCTCCTGCTTTAGATACACCAGTGATTTATTTCAATCTCACTATAACAATGGTCAGAGCAAGATTTCAAAACCCCCAAATTACACAAACAAAAAGGGAGTCATGGTTTCCCCTATGTTTGCTGACCCCAAACAGAGACTAATTAGGTGACTCCCTGGATCCTTTTTGACTCCAACTCCTTTTGGAGGTTATTCAGGACCCTCAAATGTTGGGCAATCCTATGTCCCCCCTACTTAGTCCTCTTGGGGGAGGTCAGATTAGCTACCACTGAAGGACCAGGACCTACCTTTTTGGTTGGGTGGTGCTTCTCGTTTCCTATTTCTGGTTCCTGTACCTCTTGGGTTCTGTTGAGCTTCAGGGTAGAAGTTCTGAGATGTCAGGTGAGTTGTTTTTCTTCCCCCTAAAGAGTTGCCTCTGTGGTGTGCTAAGGGGAAGCAATGTCCTCCAACATCCCAGAGAAGCCAGACCTGAGAGTCAAGAGAGGCAACTTCACCATTACCATCTCAAGTGGATTGCCAAATGTTGCAGGACAGATGAGGCTGGACAACTGTGGAATTAACAGAAAACATGTTTATTGGCTACAGTTGGTTCAGAGTGTGGCTGTATCCTAAAATTTCCTCCTCTGAACCATGAGACTAGAAATTCTTTGAACTTTATATCCACCTGGAGGTGGGGCTTGGATTTCCACTTTTGCTGGAGTCTACCTAAAAGTGTCTTTTTTCTTTGAATTCATAGAGAGTGCTTTTGATTTACTTTTTTTTTTTATTTTTGGTTTTAGATTACTCAGAGGTTATATGTTTTACCACAGAAGCAGAAGTAACATCATAAAGTCTGTTGCCAAACTTAGCTTTTAGAAGACACAGTAATCAGAAATAGGAAGTCTAATCACAGTTGGGCATTTTTGCAGGAAGTTTTTTCTGATATTCTGTTAATAAGAAAAGATATG